AATTGGCTGGAGCCTTTTTTTGGGCTTTTCAGCAGGAAAATCCTGCCTGGAAATCCCACAGGGAATATCAATCCCTGGGAAAAGAGGGAAGGAGATGGGATGAAGTGATAAAAATTAAGGATTAGAGTTATCCAGATAAATCATCCCAATGGAAAGGGAAGTTTGGATCATCTGGGAGGAGATTCCTGGAATTCTTCCTCTGCTATCCATGAATTCAGTGTTTGATTCCCAACATGGCTTTTCCTAGGAGAGGAATTCCTTCCAGTGGATCCCTTTGGAAAACTTTGTTGGCCAACAAAGCGTGTTCCAGTTGGAACTTCCTCCTTCAGCTCCCACTTGGCCAAATTAAACAGGATGGAAAAATTGCAGGATTTAGGAATTTTTCCGTGGAAACACAGGGATTCTTTCCTGGAAAATAAAACCTTACAAAAAGTATATCAAACCCACCATTTTTCCTCTCATTCCCACTTTTTTGGGGGGTGAAAAGAACCCTGGTGAGGCTTAGACTCAAAAATCAGGGATTCTTTCCTGATCCTTTCTTTGGGAAAGGACCCTGGGAAAAGGGAATGTCTCCCTTGGGAGCTGCTCCAGCCCTGAGGGGGAGGTGGACTCTGGACACTGGTGGGAAGTTTCTGCTGGACTTTTGAGCCTCAATCTTAGTGGGAATTTTAACTGGGAATTGGGGTGTGGTATCAGACTGTGGGATTGAGGGATAAAGGAGCAGGAAAAGGCAGTGGAAAAAGGAGTGGAAAACTGAGGAAAAGGCAGCGTGAGCTGAGGAACAGCCTGGAAAAATCCAGCTGGAAGTTCAGTTTCTTGCATCCCAGCAGTGAGATTCCAGCCCCAGCAGTGAGATTCCAGCCCCAGCAGTGAGATTCCAGCAAGTTTTAGCACATAAGGAGAAGCTGGGTTTGGAAATGGATGGACCCTGGGAATTTGGGAATAGGTTTGAGGAGTGAAATAACAACGGGCTGGATTCCGGATTAAGGAATTAAGGATTTGCTTTGAGCTGGTGGGATTACAGGACCTTCCCACCGGTTTTCCCTGTTCTAACTTTCCCTTCTCCCTGCCAGGTTGTTGACAGAGCTGGAATCTCCTTCCTGGTGGCCCTTCAGCAGCAAACTCTGGAAAACACCTCTGGAATCCAAGCCCAAGGAAGCGGCCGCAGCTTCCGAGCCCAAGAACCAGGAAGGCGTCATCCTGAGAATTCCAGTCATTATCACCCACAGAACAGACTCCAGTGCCAAGCCAGGAAAACTCACCCTCTTTGCTTCTGGCCTGGAGATCAGTGACTGCAATTCCCAGGTGATCCACAGGTTTGAATCCCGGGATGTGGATGATATCCGGGTGCACACTCCCTACGAGATCAGCGTCCGCCAGAGGTTTATTGGGAAGCCCGACACGTCCTACAGGCTCCTGTCAGCCAAGATGCCAGAGGTCATTCCCCTCCTGGAGATGCAGTTCAGCAAGAAGATGCAGTTCCTGGAGGATGCCTTGGGATTTGTGGGAGCCAGGAAGTCTCCTCAGGTGGATTTGGGGACGTCCATCTGGCAGGCGGGTAAGTGGGACAGGGAGTCCCTCTGGAATTCAGCAGCTTTGACTCCAAAGGTTTCCAAGTGTTTTCCAACCCCAAAATACTTCCAAGGCAAATTCTCTCCTCCCTGTCCTAACAGTGGTGATGATAAAATCCAAGGATTTGGCCTCAGGTGGATTTGGGGACCTCCCTCTGGGAGGCAGATAAGTGGGACAGGGAATCCCTCTGGAAGCAGCAGCTTTGACTCCAAAGGTTTCCAAGGGTTTTCCAATTCTAAAATAGTGTAAAAAATTTTCCAAGGCAAATCCTTCCCTCCCTGTCCTAACAGTGGTGATGATAAAATCCAAGGATTTGGCCTCAGGTGGATTTGGGGAGCTGCATCTGGCAGGCACAGATGTGGGATAGGGAATCCCTCTGGAAGCAGCAGCTCTTGCTCCAGAGGTTTCCAAGGGTTTTCCAACCTCAAAATATTCCCAAGGCAAATCCTCCATTCCCTGTGCCAACAGTGGTGATGATAAAATCCAAGGAATTGTGGCCAGAAAGTCTCCTCAGGTAGATTTGGGGACCTGCATCTGGCAGGCAGGTAAGTGGGACAGGTAATCCCTCTGGAATTCAGCAGCTTTGACTCCAAAGGTTTCCAAGGGTTTTCTAATCCTAAAATACTGTAAAAAATTTCCCAAGGCAAATCCTCTCCTCCCTATCCCAATGGGACATTTTTCCTTGATAAAATCCAAGGATTTGGCCTCAGGTGGATTTGGGGAGCTGCATCTGGCAGGCACAGATGTGGGACAGGGAATCCCTCTGGAAGCAGCAGCTCTGGCTCCAGAGGTTTCCAAGGATTTTCCAACCTCAAAATATTCCCAAGGCAGATCCTCCCCTCCCTGTCCCAACGGTGGTGATGATAAAATCCAAGGAATAACCTCCAGGTGACTTCAAACCCTCCATCATTGCTGTTTTTCCTTTGTCATTCCTGGCTGGAATAGATGAATTATAATGACATTAAACTTGTCCTTCAGTTAAATACAGGAAGTTTAACCCAAATATCCATTCCAGGAATTCAATAAATCATGGGATAAACATCATATTGATCTTCCTAAAAATTTTTTTCCTAAAAACCCCTAAATTTTGGCATTTGAGGAGTCCAAGTGTTTAAATTTGGGAGATTTTTGGCCTCAGATTTGTTGATTTGAAGATTTCAAGGAAACAATGGAGACTGAAAACCTTTCCCAACAATCAGCTTGACATTCCTTACTCCTCTTCATTCTCCTAAAATTCCAAGGAGTGTTTTTCCTTAGTTTTTTTTTTGGTAATTCAACCCTGGATTCGTTTCATAGGTGTCACTTAGGAATTTATTTAATTTATTTGTGTAAATCCTCTTTGTTTCCCCCCTAATTTTTTAGTGACAAAAGAGCAACTCGAGGCCTGGATTTATTCCCAGCTTATTAAAAACCAAGCAGAAAACAGGATAAAATAATAAATTAACATCTTTCCTTGCACCAAACATCCTGGAATTCAGCAGGGGAGGGTATTTTGAAAGGGAAAAAACTTGGAAAAACCTGGTTTAATTTTGAAGGAAGGAAGTTTTTGGGCATCTGGCACTTCAAATCCAACAGCAACTTAGAGGAAAAACAACCTGCTTTGAGTTATTCCAGCAAGTTGGAGTCCAATTCCTGAGGGCCTGAAGGCTGGTTATATAAAATCCTTGTTTTTTTCCAGCCTTCTCCAGGTTTTTCCCACTGCTCTGAGGGAAGGAAGGATTTGCTCCTTCCTTGCTGCTTTTTCCCTGTTTCCTTTGGAAATGGGCTTAAAAAAACCTGGATTTTATGGCAATCCCAACTTTTCCAGCTCCACCAAAGCCCTTGTTTGTCCCTTCCCAGGAATTTATCCCTGGTTTTTCTGCTGTCACAAGGTGGCACCCACGGGCTGTAGTTGAACCTCTGGGATTTTTTCCATGGATATCCTCATTTTTTTCTTCTTTTCCCTAAAAACTGAAGGGGGAAAAAAATCCTTGTTTTGTGCCCCTGTGCACAGAAAAAGCTGTATTTTTTCAGATAATTAATTAATTAATTTAGGGATTTCTAGGAGAAATATCCTGGCAGGGGAGGTCCATCCACCTTAAAATTAAGGATTTTGCCCTTTTTACCCCAAACTGTCACAACCTCACGTGGAGCCTCTGTTTAAAGTTGTGCATATTCCACATAAATACCAAAAAAAAAATCCCTTTTCCTAAGATTTTTGGCGTAATTCCACCTGCAAGAGGAATTTCTGGAGGGTTTTCTGCACCCCCAGGTTATCTGAAAGGATTTTTAGGTGCTTTGCACTTCTTTTCTTCCTCTTTTTTATGGCCAAAGGGGAGTGTTTAAACTCTCAGGGCATTTGGTTCATCTGATTTTATTCAGTTTTGAGCCAATTCCACCCTCAGGAAAGGCTGAGAACACCTTCCCAGGATTAAAAAAAAAGGGGATTAAAATCCTAAAGTGCCTCTGAGCCCAGCAATTTAGGGCTGTCTGGGTCCTGTAGCTGAATTTTGGCATCCACAGGCTTTTTTATCCCTTTAGAAGCTGCTGAATTTTTCCCGTTTCTCCCCAAATTTGCTCATTCTTTGGAGTTTCCAGCACTTTGTTCCGAGCTTTGGTGGCTTTTTGGAAGTAACACCAACGAAACCAAATTGCTTTTTAAGTATTTCTGCACTTTTTATCCAATATCTCCCTAAAAAAATCGCTGGGAAATTCCAGCTCTCCTTCCTCATCCCGCTCTTTTTGTCCTCGGATTAATGGAGATGGATGGATGGATGAATTGATTTTAATTAATTAATTAGCATGTGGTGACGCTCAGCTGATAAGAAACACAAAGAATCTCCTCTGGCTGTTTGTTGCCATAAGGAATTCTATCATTCCCTCCCCATTTTTCCTGGGAAGGACACCAGGACACTGATTTCCCATTTTTCAGTGCCTGGTTTTTTCCCCTCTGGAAAACAAGGAGCACAATCCAGTGAAGGAGCCTGGACAGTGTCTGAGTCCAGGGACTGATAATGGAGTAATTCCAGGGATTAGGAGTTTGCAGGAATTCCCTGGGAGGGATTTAGGGTTTGGTGCTTCTGGTTTTTCCAGGGAAAAGGAATGGGATCCAGAGCTGGGCTGTGGCAGCACTTGGAGCTGGCACAGAGCTCTGGGATCTGCCAGGCTTTGTGTCCTCATGGATTCCAACCTGCTGTCCTTGGCCTTGGTGCTCCCAGGTGCCTGTGGGACAATGGTTTCCTTCCTGGTGTCCAGGTGGGAAAACTTTGGAGATAAAATTCCCAGAATGGTTTGGGTTGGAAGGGACCTGAAGGATCATCTCATCCCACCCCCTGCCATGGGCAGGGTCACCTTCCACTAGCCCAGGGTGCTCCAACCTGGCCTTGGACACTTCCAGGGATCCAGGGGCAGCCACAGCTTCTCTGGGAAATCCATTGCAGTTCCTCCCCACCTTCCTAGCCAGGAATTCCTTCCCAATATCCCATCTATCCCTACTTTGACTTGGAAGAATGTCCCAGTGGTGACACCTCCTCGTGTCTCCATCCACAGCCCTTGGGGACAGCTGGCCTTTCTGTTCCAGTGCCAAATGGAGCAAACCCCTGAAAGAGCAGCAGGAACAAGGTTTAGTTCCCTCCCTCCTTTGTTTATTTTAGGGATAATTTGTTATTCCCAGATGAGGAGCTCAGCTGTCCCAGCCCCAGGTGGGACATTAAAGCTCCCTGGAATTCCTGCAGGGTTGTTTCTGGGTGGAAGTTTTTGAGGGGTTTCTCCTTTAACAGCAGAAGCCCCAGGAATGACTGAGAGTCCCAAAATCTCCACAGCTTCTGGAGAGTGGAGTGGTCCCTCTGGAATCCTAAATGTGGTCTGCACTGAGCACCATCTCCTTGAATTCCCACTCAAGGGACATGAGACTTGAGCAACCAGTTCTCCAACCCATCCATGAACATCAGAGGATGGTTCTCCTCAGGAAGAGTAGCTGGGCTTTGTCTTGTTATTCCACAGAATCCCAGGATGGTTTGGGATGGAAGGGACCTTAAGGATCATCTCATCCCACCCCTGCCATGGGCAGGGACACCTTCCACTAGCCCAGGTTGCTCCAACCTGGCCTTGGACACTTCCAAGGATGGAGCAGCCACAGCTTCTCTGGGAAATCCATTCCAGTCCCTCCCCACCCTCACAGGGAAGAATTTTTCCCAACATCCAACTGGGAATTGTCAGTCTTAACGTGGGAATTTCTCTTGCAGCCACAGGACTCCTGGGAGGGGTGGTGCAGCCTGGATCTCCAGCAGGAAGCAGGGAAGGGATGGACAATGAGCAGGTTCAGCTGCAGCAGCACGAGAAGGTCTCCCAGGAAGAGGCAAAAGAGCTGAGACAGGTAAAGTTGAGATAAATTTGCCAGATTTGAGATAAATTTCCCTCCCTGTTTCTCCTTAAAAACACACGTTTTCCTCATCACAAAGTCATTGCCTTAACAAAAGAATCCTTCATAAATTTCCATGGGAATATTTTAAAGCTTAATCCAGCCTGTGGTAAAAATACCCTCTTCCCTGAGGGTCTTTAATCATCATAATTAATAATTATAATTCATAATTTCCAGGTATAAGCTGTGATAGATGTGGAAGTGAAGGAAAATGGGGTCGAAGGGGGAATTCCTTCCCAGGAAGTGTGGAAGTTTGGGATTCACACGGGGCTCCATAAAGTCCATATAGAACCTTTTGGGTTTGGAACCCCTGGAAGCATCAAGGAAATGACACCTGAGCAAGACATTGAATGTTTGGGAAGGAGCAGGATGATGGATCATCACATTTACAAAGAATTCAGAGAGTAAAGAGGGAAAAACAAGCATTGAAGACAGACATCCTTGTGCCATCACCTTTTATCCATTAATTAAAGATATTTGAGGGCTTTGTGTTTGTAATTAGTGTTTTCCTGAGCAATTCCCTCTCCTGAGGATTGGGATCTTTTATTCCTTGTGGTGAAAACACTTATTTTTCACCAAACAGAGGAGGATTTTGCTCCCTCTCCCTCATTTGTGATCTGGGTGAGTCAGGAGAACTTCCAAAGCTGGAGAAGAGGAATTTGTGGTGAACAAAGAGCTGTTGCTCTTTCTCTTTCCTCCAGGGATAACAGCAGGTGTTTTCCAACAGGAATTGTTGGGGGATGCTCAATTCCTTCCCTCAGAGCTGGAATTCCTTCCCTCACTGTGATTTGGGTGCTCAAGGAAAGGACCTCACCAGGAATTCCTGAGGGGTCATTTATGTTAAAAAACAAATTTTGTGGCAATTTGAGGCTGTTTCTGAACTGGGTTATGGAGGTGGAGGAAGAATCCTATAAAATTCCAGTGGTGTCTGGCTGGGATTGACAAAATGGCCCCAGGAGTGGGAGGGGATGTGACAATGGTCCCATTCCAGTCCTTTGGACCTCAGCAGGAATTCCTGAGGGGTCATTTATGTTAAAAAACACATTTTGTGGCAGTGTGATTGTTCCTGAACTGGGTTCTGGAGACAGAATCCTACAAAATTCCAGTGGTGTCTGCCTGGATTGACAAAATGGCCCTGGGAGTGGAGGGTCTGGATGATCCCATTCCAGTCCTTTGGACCTCAGCAGGAATTCCTGAGGGGACATTTATATTAAAACATGGAGTTTGTGGCAGTGTGAGGATACTCCCTGAACCTGGCTATGGAGATGGAGGAAGAATCCTACAAAATTCCAGAGGTGGAGGAAAAATCCTACAAAATTCCAGTGTTGTCTGGCTGGGATTGACAAAATGTCCCCGGGAATGGGAGGAGATGTGACAATCTTGGCCCTGGGGCTGTGCTTGAAGGGTCTGGATGGTCCCATTCCAGTCCTTTGGACCTCAGCAGGAATTCCTGAGGGGACATTTATATTAAAACATGGAGTTTGTGGCAGTGTGAGGATATTCCCTGAACCTGGTTATGGAGATGGAGGAAGAATCCTACAAAATTCCAGAGATGGAGGAAAAATCCTGCAAAATTCCAGTGTTGTGTGGCTGGGATTGACAAAATGTCCCTGGGAATGGGAGGGGATGTGACAATCTTGGCCCTGGGGCTGTGCTTGGAGGGTCTGGATGGTCCCATTCCCATCCTTTGGACCTCACCAGAAATTCCTGAGGGGACATTTATGTTAAAAAGCACATTTTGTGGCAGTCTGAGTGTTCCTGAACTGGGTTCTGGAGACAGAATCCTACAAAATTCCAGTGGTGTCTGCCTGGATTGACAAAATGGCCCTGGGAGTGGGAGGGTCTGGGTGATCCCATTCCAGTCCTTTGGACCTCACCAGAAGTTCCTGAGGGGACATTTATGTTAAAACATGGAGTTTGTGGCAGTGTGAGGATATTCCCTGAACCTGACTATGGAGATGGAGGAAGAATCCTACAAAATTCCAGAGATGGAAGAAAAATCCTATAATATTCCAGTGTTGTGTGGCTGGGATTGACAAAATGTCCCCGGGAATGGGAAGGGATGTGACAATCTTGGCCCTGTGCTTGGAGAGGGTCTGGATGGTCCCATTCCAGTCCTTTGGACCTCAGCAGGAATTCCTGAGGGGACACTTATGTTAAAAAACACATTTTGTGGCAGTGTGAGTGTTCCTGAACTGGGTTCTGGAGGCAGAATCCTACAAAATTCCAGTGGTGTGTCTGGCTGGGATTGACAAAATGGCCCCAGGAGTGGGAGGGGATGTGACAGTGGTCCCATTCCAGTCCTTTGGACCTCAGCAGGAATTCCTGAGGGGACATTTATATTAAAACATGGAGTTTGTGGCAGTGTGAGGATATTCCCTGAACCTGGCTATGGAGATGGAGGAAGAATCCTAAGAAATTTGAGGGTTGTCTGTCTGGGATTGACAAAATGTCCCCGGGAATGGGAGGAGATGTGACAATCTTGGCCCTGTGCTTGGAGAGGGTCTGGATGGTCCCATTCCAGCCTTTTCCTCCTTCCAGAGCCTCTGGAGTGTTTATTTACCCTTTACGTGCCTTCAACTCAGGAAATCACAACTGTGAGCTCACAGAAAACTTGTTTGGTGGAGGAACTGCTCATTCCAAGGGCTAAAGACCAAATTTCCTCATGGGATGGCCTCGTGCCATGGCCTGTGGGGATCACAGACACCTGAGCTTAACACATGGAAAACCAGGCCCTGGAGCTGTTTTTTTGGGAGGGGGGAGAACTGAGGAAATACTTTGTATTTCCTTCTGTGTAACTGGAAGGATTGGGACCAAAATAAAAGGTGGGAATTAAGCCTGTGGAGCTGCTGGAGTCTGGTTTTTTTCCAGTGGTACCACGAGTGTTTATTCCCTTGAAAATAAGTGAATAAAATCAGAATTCTCCGTCAATCCGAGGAAAAATGACAAGAGAAATGTCCTCTAGTTGGGATTTAAAATCTTCCTGCTCCCTCCTGTCCCTGCCCATTCCAGGTGCAGCAGGAGAGGGAATTGCTTGGGAGTGACTTGAGTGGCTAAAAATACAGGAGAAAAAAAAAATCTCCCCCCTCCAGTTTGGGGAAATGAGGGAGGGAAATTCCCTGCTTTCCTGTCCCAGGGGAAGGAACCTGGAGGAGTGTTTCATTTTTGGGACAGGAACAGGAGTTTCCTCACTTGTAGTTTTGGGAAGAACAGAGAAAGGTGGATTAAGTTTGATCCGGAGTTTATTTTGTGTTTTTTTGCTTTGGCAGCCAAAGCCTGACTCGGGTTATTCAAATTTCTGGGATTTATGGAAAGAGCTGGGAGATACTTTACAAGATAAATCCCACTCCTGTGGCTGCCATCCAGCTTCAGGCTGTGTCAAATTCCCTTCCCGTTCCAGCTAGATGGGATATTCCTGCTTTTCCCAGACCAGGAGCAGCAAATGATGGAATTCACGTGGATAAAGGGGCTGCTGATGTTTCCCAGCAGCTTTCTGGGAGCTGATTCTACAGATTCCAACAGAAACTTTACCAGTGATGGCAAAAATAAATATAAATATGTATGAAGTGTAGGGGTTTTTTTCCTGTTTTACCTCAAGGGTTGTTTTGTTGGACACTGAAGTCCTGGAATGTTCAGGATGGAACTCTTGTCTTCTTGGGCTGCTGCTAAAAGGATCCAGGGAAAGGAATTTGGGCGGATTTTTCAGGTGGTGTTTGGATCTGCCCTCGGACTTGGTCGTGGGAAAATTAATCATGGAATATCCTGGGTTGGGACAGACCCACAGGGATCATCCAGTCCAACTCCTGGACACCCCAACAATCCCTGAGGGTGTTTTCCAAACACCCCTTGAGCTCTGGCTCAAGGTTTGGTTGCTCAGGTGTCACTTTTTTCCTTCTACTCCATCCACTGACACTTTTTTTTTGGTGAATTGTAGAAAAACAACGTTAAATACAACATTTTCTGTCCTTTGACCTGCTCCCTGCCTGATCTTTGTGCCCCTTCAGCCACTGGATCCCCTCTGGCTTTACTCCAACAGGCACATCCTGGGGAAAACCTCCTGCTCTGGGGTGCACATCCATCAGGGAGGGAATAACAGCCAGGAAAAAAGGATGTTTACACTGATTTTTACCTCTCATTTCCCCTCTGCCCCAAATAGCCCCAAGATTTCAATTGTGAGTTCGCTCTTTAGTTCGTTGTTTAATTCATTTTAATTCAGTTTATCAATGATTTGGTCACTTGGGCATTGACCCCACCTGGAGTTCTGTGTCCAGCTCTGGGGCTTCCAGCACAGGAAGGATGTGGAGCTCCTGGAGCAGCTCCAGAGGGGCCCTGGAGATGCTCCAAGGGCTGGAGCCCCTCTGCTCTGGAGCCAGGCTGGGAGAGCTGGGGGGGTTCCCCTGGAGAAGAGAAGGCTCCAGGGAGAGCTGAGAGCCCCTTGCAGGGCCTGAAGGGGCTCCAGGAGAGCTGGAGAGGGACTGGGGACAAGGCATGGAGGGACAGGACACAGGGAATGGCTTCTCACTGAAAGGGAGGAGGGTTAGATGGGATATTGGGAAGGAATTCCTGGTTGGGAGGGTGGGGAGGGACTGGACTGGATTTCCCAGGGAAGCTGTGGCTGCCCCTGGATCCCTGGAAGTGTCCAAGGCCAGGCTGGAGCAACTTGGGAAAGTGAAAGGTGTCCCTGCCCATGGCAGGGGGTGGAACTGGATGATCCTTAAGGTCCCTTCCAACCCAACCCATTCCATGACTATTTAAAGCCCTGAAGGGGTTGGAACTGGATGGTCCTTAAGGTCCCTTCCAACCCATTCTATGATGACTTAAACCCTGAAGGAGTTGGAATGAGATGATCCTTCAGGTCCCTTCCAACCCAACCTGACGGGTTTAGAATGAGATGATCCTTAAGGTCCCTTCCAACCCAACCCATTCCATGATGATTTAAAGCCCTGAAGGGGTTGGAATGAGATGATCCTTCAAGTCCCTTCCAGCCATGATAATTTAAAACCCTCAAGAGGTTGGAATGAGATGATCCCTAAGGCCCCTTCCAACCCATTCCATGATGATTTAAAGCCCTGAAGGGGTTGGAATGAGATGATCCTTAAGGCCCCTTCCAACCCATTCCATGATAATTTAAAGCCCTGAAGGGGTTGGAACTGGATGGTCCTTCAGGTCCCTTCCAACCCATTCCATGATGATTTAAAGCCCTGAAGGGGCTGGAATGAGATGATCCTTAAAGTCCCTTCCAACCCAGCCCATTCCATGATGATTTAAAGCTCTGAAGGGATTGGAACTGGATGTTCCCTAAGATCTCTTCCAATCCAACCCATTCCATGGTGATTCAAACCCTGAAGGGATTGGAACTGGATGGTCCTTAAGGTCCCTTCCAACCCAACCCATTCTGTGATGATTTAAAGCCCTGAAGAAGTTGGAATGAGATGATCCTTAAGGCCCCTTCCAACTTATTCCATGATGATTTAAAGCCCTAAAAGGGTTGGAATGAGGTGATCCTTAAGGTCCCTTCCAACCCAACCCATTCCATGATGATTTAAAGCCCTGAAGGGGTTGAAATTAGATGATCCTTCAGGTCTCTTCCAACCCAACCTGACAGGGTTGGAACTGGATGATCCTTAATGTCCCTTCCAACCCAGCCCATTCCATGATGATTTAAAACCCTGAATGGATTGAAATTAGATGATCCTTCAAGTCCCTTCCAACCATAATAATTTAAAGCCCTCAAGGGGTTGGAATGAGATGATCCTTAAGGCCCCTTCCAAACTATTCCATGATGATTTAAAGTCCTAAAAGGGTTGGAATGAGATGATCCTTAAGGTCCCTCCCAACCCAACCCATTCCATGATGATTTAAAGCCCTGAAGGGGTTGGAATGAGATGATCCTTCAAGTCCCTTCCAGCCATGATAATTTAAAGCCCTGAAGGGGTTAGAACTGGATGATCCTTAAGGTCCCTTCCAACCCTACCCATTCCATGATGATTTAAAAACCTGAATGGGTTGAAATTAGATGATCCTTCAAGTCCCTTCCAGCCATGATAATTTAAAACCCTCAAGAGGTTGGAATGAGATGATCCCTAAGGCCCCTTCCAACCCATTCCATGATGATTTAAAGCCCTGAAGGGGTTGGAATGAGATGATCCTTCAAGTCCCTTCCAGCCATGATAATTTAAAGCCCTGAAGGGGTTGGAACTGGATGATCCTTCAGGTCCCTTCCAACCCATTCCATGATGATTTAAAGCCCCCAAGTGCCTCATTCCCACAGCTCCGTGCCTTATCCCAGAGATCCCACTGAAAACTCTGAGTCTTTCCTTCTGGCAGATCCTGAAGAAGCTGAAGGGCCTCGCCCTGGAGACGGAAGCAGAGCTGGAAAGGCAGGATGAGGCCCTGGATTCCATCAGCAGCTCCGTGGACAGGGCCACGCTGACCATCGACAAGCAGAACCGCAGGATGAAGAGGCTCACGTAGCCCTGGGAATGGGAATGGGAATGGGAAGAAGAGGAGGAGCAGGGAGCTGGATTCATCCACACTGTTCCTGCAGGGACACTTTGGTTGCCTGGGAGGTGTTTGGGAACACCTTGGAATTCTGTGCTGCTGGTGTGGACTTCCTGAAAGTTGGGAGTTCCTGAAGGTTTGGTTTTCCTGAAGGTTTGGTTTTCCTGAGAGCTTGGAATTCCTGAGGGTTTGGGAAGTGTTTCCAGGTGGTTTAGGATGAAAAAAAGGGAAAACTTTTAACCCTGGGAGTGAATCCTTCCCTACAGAACCCGTGTAAATAGGAAGGGATGTGACTGACCCTGACCTGACTTGGATGTTGCTTTTTTATGTTGCTGCTTCTGAGGGGTTTTTTTTTGGGGGGGGGGGGATATTTGTAGCCCTGGAGCCATGGGAATGGGAATAGGAATGGGAAGAAGAGGAGGAGCAGGGAGCTGGATTCATCCACACTGTTCCTGCATGGACACTTTGGTTGCCTGGGAGGTGTTTGGGAACACCTTGGAATTCTGTGCTGCTGGTGTGGGCTTCCTGAAGGTGTGGAGTTCCTGGAGGTTTGGTTTTCCTGAAGGTTTGGTTTTCCTGAGGGTTTGGTTTTCCTGAGGGCTTGGTTTTTTCTGAGGGTTTGGGAAGTGTTTCCAGGTGTTTTAGGATGAAAAAGGGGAAAACTTTTAACCCTTGGAGTGGCTCCTTCCCTAGGTGTAAATAGGAAGGGATGTGACCGACCCTGACCCGACTTGGATGTTGCTTTTTTATGTTGCTACTTCTGAGGGGTTTTTTTTTAGGGGGGTATTTGTAGCCCTGGAGCCATGGGAATGGGAATGGGAATGGGAAGAATAGGAGGAGCAGGGAGCTGGATTCATCCACACTGTTCCTGCAGGGACACTTTGATTGCCTGGGAGATGTTTGGGAACACCTTGGTGTCCCTGGAATTCTGTGCTGCTGCTGTGGAGTTCCTGAAGGTTTGGTTTTCCTGAAGGTTTGGTTTTCCTGAGGGCTTGGAATTCCTGAGGGTTTAGGAAGTGTTTCCAGGTGTTTTAGGATGAAAAAGGGGAAAACTTTTAACCCTGGGAGTGAATCCTTCCCTACAGAACCCGTGTAAATAGGAAGGGATGTGACCGACCCTGACCCGACTTGGATGTTGCTTTTTTATGTTGCTGCTTCCAAGGGTTTTTTTGGGGGGGGGTATTTGTAACCCTGGAGCCCTGGGAATGGGAATGGGAATGGGAAGAAGAGGAGGAGCAGGGGGCTGGATTCATCCACACTGTTCCTGCATGGACACTGATTGCCTGGGAGGTGTTTGGGAACACCTTGGATTTCTGTGCTGCTGGTGTGGACTTCCTGAAGGTTTGGTTTTCCTGAGGGTTTGGAATTCCTGAGGGTTTAGGAAGTATTTCCAGGTGTTTTAGGATGAAAAAGGGGAAAACTTTTAACCCTGGGAGTGAATCCTTCCCTACAGAACCCGTGTAAATAGGAAGGGATGTGACTGACCCTGACCTGACTTGGATGTTGCTTTTTTATGTTGCTGCTTCCAAGGGTTTTTTTGGGGGGGTATTTGTAGCCCTGGAGCCATGGGAATGGGAATGGGAAGAATAGGAGGAGCAGGGAGCTGGATTCATCCACACTGTTCCTGCAGGGACACTTTGATTGCCTGGGAGATGTTTGGGAACACCTTGGTGTCCCTGGAATTCTGTGCTGCTGCTGTGGAGTTCCTGAAGGTGGGGAGTTCCTGAAGGTTTGATTTTCCTGAGGGCTAGGAATTCCTGAGGGTTTAGGAAGTATTTCCAGGTATTTTAGGATGAAAAAGGGGAAAACTTTTAACCCTGGGAGTGAATCCTTCCCTACAGAACCCGTGTAAATAGGAAGGGATGTGACCGACCCTGACCCAACTTGGATGTTGCTTTTTTATGTTGCTGCTTCTGAGGGGTTTTTTTTTTAGGGGGGTATTTGTAGCCCTGGAGCCCTGGGAATGGGAATGGGAATGGGAATGGGAATGGGAAGAAGAGGAGGAGCAAGGAGCTGGATTCATCCACACTGTTCCTGCAGGGACACTTTGATTGCCTGGGAGGTGTTTGGGAACACCTTGGTGTCCCTGGAATTCTGTGCTGCTGGTGTGGACTTCCTGAGGGTTTGGTTTTCCTGAGGGTTTGGTTTTCCTGAGGGCTAGGAATTCCTGAGGGTTTGGGAAGTGTTTCCAGGTGTTTTAGGATGAAAAAGGGGAAGACCTTTAACCCTGGGAGTGAATCCTTCCCTACAGAACCCGTGTAAATAGGAAGGGATGTGACTGACCCTGACCCAACTTGGATGTTGCTTTTTTATGTTGCTGCTTCTGAGGGGTTTTTTTGGGGGGGGGTATTTGTAACCCTGGAGCCCTGGGAATGGGAATGGGAATGGGAATGGGAAGAAGAGGAGGAGCAGGGGGCTGGATTCATCCACACTGTTCCTGCACTGACACTGATTGCCTGGGAGGTGTTTGGGAACACCTTGGATTTCTGTGCTGCTGGTGTGGACTTCCTGAAGGTTTGGTTTTCCTGAGGGTTTGGAATTCCTGAGGGTTTAGGAAGTATTTCCAGGTGTTTTAGGATGAAAAAGGGGAAAACTTTTAACCCTGGGAGTGGCTCCTTCCCTACAGAACCCGTGTAAATAGGAAGGGATGTGACTGACCCTGACCCGACTTGGATGTTGCTTTTTTATGTTGCTGCTTCTGAGGGGTTTTTTTTGGGGGGGGTTATTTTTTAGTGAAAGGAGCTGCTTGGGACAATAATTTCGATTATTACAACCAATTAATTCCCTCCCAAGGTCCTTTAAAACACTTAATATCTGAATTAAAGCCCAAATACCCAACTGAGGCTTTTTTGGGGGGGTGACTTAATGCTCAGGTGAGCAAATGATGGGGATAAAAACCTCGTGTTCCCTCAGCAAATGCTTTTAATTCTGCTTTTAATTCACCCAGAAATGAATTTATGAGAACCTTGAAGACTTTGGGGGAAGATTTGATGGTCCTGGTACATCATTTTTTGGCTTCCTTATTTATTTATTAGCACTAAGTGCTGACAAAACATTTCAGGAGTTCTTCTTATTTCAACTTCTTTTTCTCCAATAAAAAAGGGACTAATGGCAAGTAGTGTCCTTTGGAATTTCCAGTTGGGAATATAGGACAGGAGAGGCCTTTCCCTCTCCTTGATTGTTGATATATATAGGAAAGATTCCAGGTAATCCATAGAAAACTCCCACTTCATCGATTCCCAGTTGATTTCTCCCCTTTACCACTTATTTAATTCAAAATATTTGGTGCAATATGTCCCTTTTTTAAGCGTTTTTATTTTGTTAAATTCAATTTTTCTGGTGTTGCTTGAAATCCAACACTTCCAGTGCAATATTTATAACTTCAAGCTTTGATTTTCCATTTTTTTTCCACCTCAATTGGAAAGAGAAATCCAGGAAATCCCGGAGAGGGGGTGGTTTTCCATCTTTTCCTCTCCCTTGGTTTGTATCCCTTCAATAATTTTCCGGTCCTGGTTGTTCCTGGCATGCACTTTAATGCTGAAAATCGTGATTATTCTCTATAAATAAGTGATTTACTGTGAAATAAATTCATGTTTGGGGTTCTCCTGTTGTTTCCCACCCCTCAAATCGCTGTTGTTGGACTGTGAAACCAAGATAAGGTTTACACAAGGAATTATTCCCTGGATTTCCAAGTGTATTTTGTGTGGGAACTGCCCCTGGTGCTGCCTGGGATGGAACCTCTGAGCTGAATTTTCCCAAGTCAGCATTCCCAAAATTAAATATTCCCTATTTTAGCCTTGAATTTTGCCTTTTTTTGTGCCATATTTTGAATTATTGTGGGTTTTTCTTATATTAATTTTAATTTAAAAATAATAATTAATTTCAATTATTCCATTAATAGGCTGTAATTCCTGCCTGTTAAATATCTTGGAATATTGATTTTGTCTCTTGTGTTCACTTGGCTGAGAAATGGCAGGAAAAATCCACTTTAGGAACAAGATTTCCTGGAGCATTTCCTGTAGGACTGGGATTTTAGGATGGGCTGATTTTTAATTGGAAAAGAGGGAAAAATCCCACCTGGGGGAATATTTAGTGTGGGAACTGCCCCTGGTGCTGCCTGGGATGGAACCTCTGAGCTGAATTTTTCCAAATCAGCATTCCCAGAATGAAATATTCCTTATTTTGGCCTTGAATTTTGCCTTTTCTTTGTGCCATATTTTGAATTGTTGTGGTTTCAGCCCCAGCTGTTCCATCTCCCTGAGTCTCCCGTGGGTTGTGTCATTCCAACGTGTCCAAACCCATGGAATATTCCACACAATCCAGAGCTGTACGTTGGCTGAATTCCCTGTTCCACCTGTAATTCCTGCCCATTAAATATCTTGGAATATTGATTTTGTCTCTTGTGTTCACTTGGCTGAGAAATGCAGGAAAAATCCACTTTTGGAACAAGATTTCATGGAGCATTTCCTGTAATACTGAGATTTAATGGAACATTTCCTGTAGGATTGGGATTTAATGGAGCATTTCCTGTAGGACTGGGATTTTAGGATGGGCTTATTTTTAATTAAGAAAGAGGGAAAAATCCCATCTGGGGGAATATTTAGTGTGGGAACTGCCCCTGGTGCTGCCTGGGATGGAACCTCTGAGCTGAATTTTTCCAAATCAGCATTCCCAGAATTAAATATTCCTTATTTTGGCCTTGAATTTTGCCTTTTTTTTTGTGCCATATTTTGAATTGTTGTGGTTTCAGCCCCAGCTGTTCCATCTCCCTGAGTCTCCCGTGGGTTGTGTCATTCCAACGTGTCCAAACCCATGGAATCTTCCACACAATCCAGAGCTGTACATTGGCTGAATTCCCTGTTCCACCTGTAATTCCTGCCCATTAAATATCTTGGAATATTGATTTTGTCTCTTGTGTTCACTTGGCTGAGAAATGGCAGGAAAAATCCTCTTTTGGAACAAGATTTCATGGAGCATTTCCTGTAATATTGGGATTTAATGGAGCATTTCCTGTAGGACTGGGAATTAGGATGGGCTTATTTTTGATTTAAAAAGAGGGAAAATAATATCTGGGGGAATATTATCCATGTGAATATTTATTGGATGATGAAGTGGGGGAATGGCAGCACAGTGGGGGCTCAATCCTGGGAATTGTGGCATTGGAGAAGGGATTAAGAATTCCTTGGACATGTCACAGCCTCTTGGGACTGAAAGATGAAGATTAAAACTTCTCTTATTCTGTAAAAATCCATTCCTGATATTCCCAGAATTGTTCAGAGCCTCCTAAATTCCTTTCTCCCTTAGTTCTGCAAAAACATGGAAAGAGGGACTTTTTCTTTAGGGGAAATAAGGGAAAAAAAATGAATAAAAATAAATGCTAAAAATAAAGAGATTTTGCTTGGAAAAGCTCTTCAGCTCCTGCAAACCAGGACTGGATTGTCCTGGATCATGTGGGGGGGGGGTTTATAATCCAGTGGATTTTCATGGAAGGGATGATACCTGGAAATTGTGGAATTGGAGCTGCTCCAGCTCTTGGAGAAGGGATTGGGAATTCCTTGGACATGTGGGACAGAACTATAAAGATGAAAATTTATCCTATAAAAATCCATCCCTGATATTCCCAGAAATGTTCAGAGCCTCCTAAATTCCCTTCTGCCTCAGTTTTGCTCCAACATGGAAAGTGGTGGGGAAATAAGGAAAATGTCTTTAGGGGAAATAAGGAAAAAAAATGAATAAAAATTGAGATTCCACTGGCACCCACAGCTTGTTCTGCCTCTTGGCCCTTGGGTCACTTTTCCACCCGTTGCAAAGAGCCAGAAAACATGAAAACTGGATCCTTCTGGAAGTGGGAATGTTTTGTGTTCAGCTTCCAAAGTGCTTGCTGAGGCCAAAATCTCTCCCTTGGTTTTGGGATTACTGGTCCAGGAAAGGTCTTTGGAAGAGCCTAAAGGGGCTCCAGGAGAGCTGGAGAGGGACTGGGGACAAGGGATGGGGGGACAGGACACAGGGAATGGCTTCCCACTGCCAGAGGGCAGGGATAGATGGGATGTTGGGAAGGAATTCCTGGCTGGGAGGGTGGGGAGGGACTGGAATGGATTTCCCAGAGAAGCTGTGGCTGCCCCTGGATCCCTGGAAGTGTCCAAGGCCGGGTTGGAGCAACCTGGGCTAGTGGAAGGTGTCCCTGCCCATGGCAGGGGGTGGAACTGGATGGTCCTAAAGGTCCCTTCCAACCCAAGCCATTCCATGATTCCAAGATTTCCTGGGGCAGCTGAGTGATGCCCACAGAGCACCTTGCACAAGAGAACAGCTAAACCCCAAATCCATGTTCCCAGTCCTACCTCCCCATCCCTCTGACCTGCCCAAAATCCAAACACAACTTCCACCTCCTTCTTTTTTTCTTTTTTTTCTTCTTTCTTTTTTTCCTTTCTTTCTTTTTTCTTTCTTTCTTTTTTTTTCTTTCTTTTTCTTTCTTTCTTTATTTTTTCTTTTTCTCCTTTTCCCCCTTTATTTAATAATTTACCCCCAGGTATTTCTCTGTAAATTCAAACAGCATTTTTTTTCCCCTATGATTTCCAGCTCTTTAAAAAGAGATGAAAAAAAAAACCCCAATGGTGGCCAAAGCAGAGGAAAAAGGGGGGGAAAATTCCCCTTTTTCCCCCAGGAGGGTTTATTATTATTATTATTATTATTAGCTCAGGTTCTCTCTGCTGTTTGTTTTTATGACAAGGTGCAAAAAGCTGCCTTTCAGAAGCTTTAGCACCTTTTTTCTCCTCCATCCCACTGCTCCCCCTCCACTTGGAATCCTTTCCCTAATGGCTCTCTGGGATAACAACCCGTGGGCATCGTGTCATAAAGCACAAAACGAGCCCAAATTGTGAGAGAGGAGCCAAAACCAACTGGAAATGAGCTTTTTCTCACCCTGTGAATTTTGCGTGGCTCGGAGCTGGCAAATCATAAATTGAATTTTGTGTGTGGAAAAGCAGGATCCAGGGAATGGTTGGCACGGGGTGGCACTGCGGGGTTTGGACTCTCTGGGTTACAACACTCTCGTTTCCTTCCCTTCTGGGTTGCATTTTCCAGGCTTGACTCACCCTGAGCAGTGGTTTTTTTCCCACCTCAGAGGGGGTGGAAAGGCTTTGGAGAGGGTGTTTGGGGGATTAGGGAAGGAGGAAATCCTGAATTCAGGACTCTTCAGGTTCCTTTTGTAATCCCTGGTGAAGGGTGGGTTGTTCCAGAGGGCAGGGACAGTTCCTGTGGCAGATCCCTGAGGAGTCTGGAACTTCATTTTGGGTTTTATCCGTCCAGCTGGGACAGGGAATTGCCTTTGGGCCAGCAGTGAACCCCTCAAAACCAGCAGGACACGGGGATTTGGGGATTCCCTTGTGGAATTTCCACCCAAGTCAGAGCAGATGTCTCAGCCTGGGGTGGGGCTCTGCAAATCCAACATCCACAGGGGCAACAAAGACAAACTGGGAGATGCCAGAGGGTGGCAACCACACCGAGCCTCAAAACAGGGAGTGGAGCCCAAGGTCACAGAATCATGGAATGGTTTGGGTTGGAAGGGACCTTAAAGACCATCCAGTGCCACCCCCTGCCATGGGCAAGGACATCTCCCTCTATCCCAGGTTGCTCCAAGCCCCATCCAACCTTGGACACTTCCACTTAGTGCTCAGAATTCCCGTGGCATCTCCTGGACATCTCCTGACAAACCTGGGATTCTTCAGCCTCAGCACTGAATAAGAACATGTGAGTTCACTCTGTCAGGGCTGATATCTTTGGAAAACATGGAAACCCTCGATTTTCTGGCAGGAACAAGAGAGGTCCATCGTGAAACCTCTGCCTGTCTCCTGCTCTTGGAGCCCGGGCTGGAACGTTGGGATCCTGTCGCTGCCGGCAGGAACCGGAGAGGAGGAAAAGAGGAGGGAAGAGTGTTTGATCCTTTCCCTTATCTCTCTGGCCTCCCACTCTCCCTTATCTCCAGGCCCTGTTTGTTTTTCCCAGGTGTGGGCAGGTGCAGCTCCTTCCCTTGGTGGTTTTTCCCCCCGCTCAGCTCCTGGGATGTGGATGGAAAATGTGAGCGCTCGGATGAGCTCGGGGGCAGAGAGGGAGGGGAGGGAGCAGCCAGGACACCTTATCTCAGCTCTGCCAGAGCTTTTTCAACAGTCCTCTCTTGGGCCTTGGGAGAGGTGATTAATTGAGGGCTTTATCCTGCCCTCAAGGATGCTTCTCCTTTGGATTTAGGGGGTTGGAAGGAGGTCTCGGCTCCCCAGCCCAGGGCAGAGCTCAGGGGCATGACCA